ATCTATCTCTCTCTCTCTCTATATCTCTCTTCTTCTCTCTCTCTCTCTCTTCTCTCTCTCTCTCTCTCTCCTCCTCTCCTCTCTCTCTCTCTCTCTCTCTCCTCTCTCTCTCTCTTCTCTCTCTCTCTTTCTCTCCTATCTCTCTTATCTCTCTCTCTCTCTCTCTTCTCCTTCTCCTCTCTCCTCTCTCTCTTCTCTTTTCTCTCTCTCCTGTAGTTGGCGCTGAGGGTTGCTTAGCTGAAGACCTACCTGGTTGTGGGTTACTATCAAATCGGTTCAGCTTTTAATAATTCCCGGCATTTTGGAAGTAATCCAGGGATGTTCATGCCCCACGGGCCGTCAAAAGGCGTGGAATTTCCCGAAAGGTATCAGAATGCGGTAAATGCTCCTTCAGAAGCATGCAGAATTATATCCAAGCATGCTGCTAACCGCCCGGCCGCGTCGACAGACTCGTCGCAGAGTCGCAGGCGACGCTCGGTCCACCGGCAGCGCCGCGCCGCCGAGGCCGCGGCCTCGGCTCAGGTGACACCGCTCACCCCGCTCCAGGTGAGTAGCCTCACCCCGCTGCAGGTGAGTGGTCTCACCCCGCTGCAGGTGAGTGGTCTCACCCCGCTCCAGGTAAGCGGCCTCACCCCGCTGCAGTTGAGCGATCTCACCCCGCTCCAGATGAGTGACCCCACCGCGCTCTAGGTGAGTGACCTCACTTCGCTCCAGGTGGATGGGCCTCACCCCGCTCCGCAGCGCCATCTAGCCGAGGCCGCGTCAACTGCCCGCTGTGTCAACACTGCACGATAGTGCTGTGAGATCACACCCTGGCCAGTCGTGTCCGAGGCGTTGTTGCATGCAACTCTTCAAGGGCCACCCTGTGTTGTACTGTACGTATCCGATCCGTGCATCACTCCCACTCGACAGCGATTCCCCCCTGTCCCGCGCTGGACTAAGTCCGTCTCCTGCGGTTCACAGTCCCAGCTGGTGCCCTGCTGCCAATGCTTACCCACACCGCTCCTTACCCACACCGCTCCTTACCCACACCGCTCCTTACCCACACCGCTCCTTACCCACACCGCTCCTTACCCACACCGCTCCTTACCCACACCGCTCCTTACCCCGCCTACCGCTCCTTACCCACACTGCTCCTTACCCACACCGCTCCTTACCCACACCGCTCCTTACCCACACCGCTCCTTACCCACACCGCTCCTTACCCACACCGCTCCTTACCCACACCGCTCCCGCCTCGCGTTACCCCTGCCGGCACCGGCTGCCACGCCTGTGTTCAGTGCTCTCCTCCGCGCCGGTCTCGGCCCGAGCACGCTCCGAGCGTCGCCCCCTCACGGCGGCCGCCGTCTCGGCAGGCTCTGCGGCTCCTGCACAGCTTCCAGGCGGGCTCGAACGCCGCCGGTCTGCTGAGCGCCGTGCAGACGGCGCAGGCCGGCCTCTGCGCCGGACTGCCCTCTACCAACAGCGCGCCGGCGGCCGTGCTCGGCGACCAGGTCGAGCTGCAGGTGGCGCGGCGCCGGCTGGACGCGCAGTACAACGGCGCCTGGTGGCCGTTCGTGGCCGGCGGCGCGATGGCCAACGGCTCGGCGGTGCGCGGCAGCGCCACCTGGAACGAGTTCCGGCGGCCATGCGGCACAGACCCGGAGACGGAGCAGGAGCTGACGTGCCGGGACGCGTGCGTCACCGCCTGGGTGGCCGACGAGGACCTGCTGGGCGCCGCCGCCGACCGCCTGCAGACGGAGCTGGGGCCGCGCTGGTGAGACCTTACTGGCTGGCTGGCTTTAGCCTGCCGCCTGCTGCTGCGGCGGGAGCTTTCTGACTTGCGCGGCATGGTTCCCGATGGTGGTCTGTGGACTCACCGCGGTGTGCTGTTAGCCTGCCCGGCGAATGAGCCGCGAAACGCGCAGTTTGGCTGGAATCGTCGGCTCGTGGAAGAAGGACGCTGCCTTTGATGAAGTCCCAGAGCTGGGCCTGCCTTTTTTTCTTTTTTCACAATCTTTCCCTGGTCACTTCCCCATAGACTCCTGATCAAAACCTGCTGACAGTGGCACAGGTGGGCTCGTGGCTGTTCTTCAGACCTTCCACCTCCTTCATCTGCTGAACTTCTGGTTTGATCCCTTGACCTGACCTCGTGACGCGACTTGCCTTGTGCCGCCAGGACGGCCGTGCACCATATGGCGCTGCTGCAGCCGGGCACTGCGAGCTCTTTGATGGCCGACGAGACGTTCGAGACGCCATTCGTGTTGAAGCTGGCCTTGAACGGATCGTCCGCAGACGTTCCTAAGGGTCGTATTTTGCAGGTAAGAGCGTCGCCTTGTGCTCGTGGAGGCGACCAGGGCAGGGGGGGGGGGGGGGGGCACCGTCCACATGGTCTTAACCCAGCTGTGACCTGATGTGCCAGAAGCTCGGGTACTTCAGGCGCCATAGTTTAACCAATGGAGGGGCGTTGAAACCAGTGACATTTCTGCATAAGGCATTCGTTTATTGTAATTTCTGTCCTTTTTTTTATATTTCACGTTGTCCTCCATGCGAAGTGTGGTTCCAGAGAAGCTCATTTTTCCGCTGTCTTGAAAGCCAGTCATAGCCTGGAGACCAGGATTGCTCATGCTCACGGCCTCACACCGTTTGCTATGGATTAGTCCCCGAGCACCCAGTCCTCTATGTTTGGTTCTGCTTGAGCTGCATCCTACCGGCCTGTTGCACCGACCCACGTCTGCGCCCGGAGGGGCCGCCAGCCGGTCGACTGTCGCTGGCGTGCGTCATCACCTCCCACCACCCGAAGGCCACCCGCCCCCGCCTGAACCCTCTCCACCCGTCCGCAGTGTCGCAACTGGGTGAACGAGGCCTGGGACGGCACCGACTGCGTGACCAGCCACGTGGCGGCTGGGTCGGTGCGCTGCCACTGTCGCCGGCTGGGCGCCGTGGCCGCGTTCGAGGCGGACGCGCCGAGCACCACCACGGTCGCGCCGACGACGACCGTCGAAGTGACCACGCCCGAAAACATCGCCATGGTCGAGAAGAACTTTACGATCAAGTGAGTGAAACGAAGCAGTTGGCTTCATTGGTTGCTGCACTGCGACATGTCGATATCGTTTTGACCTGCGGATAATGATCCAGACGTGACGTGTGGGTTTGGGTGCGAGCGGGGTGCCGGAGCGAGATGTCGGAGCAAGATGCCGAGGTGAGATGCCGGAGCAAGGTGCTGGAGCGAGATACCGGAGCGAGATGTCGCAGCGAGACGTCGCATCGAGGTGCCGTAGCGAGACGTCGGATCGATATAGTGGAGCGAAACGCCGGAGTGATATGTCGGAGCGACATGACGGGGCGACATGTCGGAGCGAGCTGCCGGTGCCGACACGTGGCCATCACGCGGCTCCGTCCGTTCGCACCGCGCTGGCTGGTCTGAGCTGACTGACGGACTGGTGTGCGCCCACAGGATCGACGCCCCCTACACCCTCGTGGAGGGCAGAGAGGAGGAGTATGCGGAGCACTTTAAGGTGCAGCTGGCCAGCGTTACCAACAGCAGCACGGACCAGATCAACTCCATTACGCTACGCCCTGGTACGGCCCCACCTCCACCACCCCACGGGTCGAGCTGGAGCAGAAACACCGGTACCGCACGTAACTGACCAGGGTGTTGTGGAAGAAGTTCAGGAACCTGTATCGAACGTGCTGTGAGTGAATCGTGGGTGGGTGTCCCTCTCCCATCCCATTCATATACTTAGGGCAAAGTGATCTGCATATAATACATCGTTTTGCATCATGATACTTTACACATCCCATCTGAGCCAGTTTGGTAAAGTCCTGCTCGCTGATTGGTCGCATTCGGATGACGCGTCAGTGGGATGTCGCCCGGCGTTGGATGTCAGTGGGATGTCAGTGGGATGTCAGTGGG